TGCCCCCCCCCCCCCAATCCTCAAAAAATATTGAAAAGCATTAAAAATACTCAATTAACTGAGGTTCTGCCCAGCAGAAGACTGCCCTCCCCAACAAAAGTCTGCCCCTCATAATGTCCTCTTTTGGGGGGGGGATTTATAATGGTGATCTCACAAAAAAGCTCAACAACTTTTTGGGTGATCGCCCCCAAAAGCCCCCCCTCTGAAAGAAATCCTGTCTACACCCATGATATGTATTGCATTAATATGGGAAGGTATCAAGACCTAAACTCCTGGGGATTGCCATTCTAAATAAAAAAAGATAGGAGGTACAAGTTATTGCCTGATATCAGTTGCTTATGGCGTGACGCATATTTGATCCTCATATGGATGACAGCTGCATGTTGGGTTGGGTTAGAGGACCCTCAGGTTCCCTTCTAACTCTAAGATTCTATGAATCTGTGAATAGTTAGATGAGATCTGTTGAAATTAAGGGACATGACTAATTTAGGTCCATTAATTTCAGTGGGTCTATTCTGAACAGAACTTAGTTGGAACTTAGCCCATTGTGATTTTTTTGCTGATTGACACAACACTTTCAGTTTTTATTTTTATTTTTGGAATTAAAAAGGAAGTGATGAGGAGTGTAAAGGACCTTGGCATAATATACGTAATACAGTGGTACCTCGGGTTACAGACGCTTCAGGTTACAGACGCTTCAGGTTACAGACGCTTCAGGTTACAGACTCTGCTAATCCAGAAATAGTACCTCAGGTTAAGAACTTTGCTTCAGGATGAGAACAGAAATTGCACGGCGGCAGCGGGAGGCTCCATTAGCTAAAGTGGTGCTTCAGGTTAAGAACAGTTTCAGGTTAAGAACGGACCTCCGGAACGAATTAAGTTCTTAACCCGAGGTACCACTGTATATGGTGATGTGCACAATCCTGCAATTTATAATCTCTAGGTAAAGGTAAAGGTACCCCTGCCCGTACGGGCCAGTCTTGACAGACTCTAGGGTTGTGTGCTCATCTCACTCTAGAGGCCGGGAGCCAGCGCTGTCCGCAGACACTTCCGGGTCACGTGGCCAGCGTGACAAGCTGCATCTGGCGAGCCAGCGCAGCACACGGAACACTGTTTACCTTCCCGCTGGTAAGCGGTCCCTATTTATCTACTTGCACCCGAAGGTGCTTTCGAACTGCTAGGTTGGCAGGCGCTGGGACCGAACGACGGGAGCGCACCCCGCCGTGGGGATTCGAACCGCCGACCTTTCGATCGGCAAGTCCTAGGCGCTGAGGCTTTAACCCACAGCGCCACCGGTGTCCCTTTTTATAATCTCTAGAGTATGCTTAAAAGGCACTACTAGCATATGGCTAGTTCTCCTGTAATATTTGTTAAATCTTGCACCCTAGAAAACTAAAATAGCATAGGAAAGTAATTTCCGGGAAGACCTCACTTATACGGCAAAAGCTACAATACGAATTAAGGACGCCTTTACATGGAAGTGATTTCTTTAGTAATAAATAGAATCTACAATAGCTGAGGCACAAGAACGAGCCTGACCCTTCCTCACAACATGCATAACTTGTATTTGCAGGCACAGGCGCTAAACCCTGTCTGTGGTGCCTACCCTTTCCCCCAAAGAATGAGACAAGAGACCAGAGTATGGGTTCAAATTGGCCACAACTTTATTGAGCTTCAGAAGTGGGAAACTTGGCATAGGCCTTGGCAGGTAACCCTCTCAGCCCGTCTGGCTGAGGATTTGCAGGCAGATGAGATCCAGTGAGAGGGGACTGTAAAGCACAAACTTACACAGCATGCCCTTCCACTGACCTCCTCCTGGGAGTTTGACCTACATGCCGCTGCTCTAGGGCCAGGGACTCCCGGTTTTTGTCCTTTAACGTGCCCTGCAAACACCGCTGCATGGGAGGGAGCATGAATGCACACACACACACACCCCGACTTGATATCAGAGTAAAGGATACCTTGCCAAGGCCTAAAACCACCGAAGTTGTGACGAAGGGAAGGCAAAACCTGCCAATGCAGGGGAAATTCCTTCCCGGTTCTGAATACAGCAACCATCTTACGACCACAGCAGCACCCGCTGACCTGGAGCGCAAAATATTAGTCTGTAGGAAAAAGTATCATTAACTTGGTGACCGCTGACCTAGGATGAGATTATTTGGAGGCAAGAAATTATTAATTTGAGGGAAGGTGGTGGTGGGTGATCCTGGAAGGAAGAAAACCAAAAGAGGCTTGAAGAAAGGGGTCAGCCTCTTTTCTTTGCCCCCCCCCAGCTGGCTGTCCATTGTCCTCCCTGACCGAGGGTGGGTCAAAGGCCAGCCCAAGCTGGTGGGAGGCCGCCGCCCAGGTGATCCGTCGTTCGGTGCCGCAAACCCCACCCACCTGTGGAGAAGGGAGGGCGGAAAATACCAGTGTGGTGTAGCTTTTAGAGTGTTGGACTATGGCCTGGGAGACCAGGGTTCAAATTGCCACTCACTGGGCAACCTTGAGGCAGTCTCTCTCTCTCTCTCTCTCTCTCTCTCTCTCTCTCTCTCTCTCTCTCTCTCTTTGCCTATTCTACCTTGCAGGGTTGTGGTGAGGGTAAAATAAGGAAAAGGAGAACTAGGTGCACCATCTTGAGCTCCTTGAAGGAAAAATGGGGTAGAAATGCAATAGATGGATAGATAGATAGATAGATAGATAGATAGATAGATAATAGATAGATAGATAGATAGATAGATGATAGATAGATAGATAGATAGATAGATAGATAGATAGATAGATGATAGATAGATAGATAGATAGATAGATAGATGATAGATAGATGATAGATAGATAGATAGATAGATAGATAGATGATAGATAGATGATATAGATAGATAGATAGATGATAGATAGATAACCAAGTAAATAATAAAACATACCACTTAATCAAATAAATAAATCAAATATACCCGTGAGCTGGGCCAGATACCACATGGCAGCAGCATTGCATTTGACTCCTAAGGTCAGTTTTACAGTAAATGGGTTTGCTATGTTGTGCTGTCATGTGTACATATTTATTACATTATATTTCAAGGTTCCTTAGGCACATGGTCTCAGCAATCCTGACAATAGATCTGAAAATCAGGCTGGTATAATCCCCACTCAGTGCAGTGGGTGATTTGCTTAGCGTCATCGAACAGCTCTCTCCCTCCCTCAAAAAACATACACAAATTATTTTCAGACACATTCACTACCCTCCCAAGTAAAATTCCACTGTATAAATTTAACAATAAAGAGGGGGGGTTGGGGGGGAGATTTCTGTGCTTTCCTGCCGGGTAAGATTTAAGGCTACCTAGAAAGTTTATATCTAAGGACCAGTGGTGTTGTTTTTCTGGGGGGACGCATACTCCTAAACATTTTGTGAATCTTTGTACTTTTATCCATTTACTGTATTTATTTTCCCCGATTTGAACTATAAAATGGTGATTTTCTTGAATCAAAATAAGAGTACCCCTAAACATTTTTTTTGGGGGGGGGAGCACTCCACTCCAGAGGACAGATTTGATCCTAACTCCCAGGAAGTTGCAACAACAATCGGGATTTTTATCTGAGGTGTGGGTCTCATCTCGATATGCATGTGTGTCTATGCAGAATAGTTTGAAACTGCTTTAGATGCGTTAATGGATCTGCCCATAGCAAAATGTTTGCAGACATGGGTTGCATATAATACCCAGCTGCAGGAATATCATCTAGCCCAGAAGCACGATAGCTAATTTTGAAGGTGGGACTGTGCTGAGGTGGGAAAGGGGGTGTTATCTCTACTTACAACAAAAAGCAGGGCTGGAAGAATTCTGGCCATGTTTGTTTGTTTTTCGTTGTTGTGGGGGGGGGGGGTTTGTTAGCAGTAGTGACTGGACTGCTCCATACAGTATATGTTTTTACAATGTTATTAGTTCTCTTTAACATGATAGCCACTTCATAAAGTCACAGAAATCACTCTGCGTAGCCGCATTAAATGCCACATTTAATGTCTCGCATTCCCCTCAGTATTTACCACAGTGTGTGCACCTGAAGTAAAAAGGGGAGAAAAGCTGTCTGCTTGGCCATAAATGCCATTGGAATTTTACAAATATAGGCACAGAGAGATGATTTAACCTTGCTTTAACCTACACCTACAAATGTGGCAGCCTTTTTTCCCCCAGATAAGTATTTATTAATTTTCCAAAAGTAAAAAAAAGAATGAAATACCAAAGCAAAAGAATAAAGAAAAGAAATAACAGCACAAAACAGATACACCATATATACAATAAAAAATTTTCACCTATCAAATTAACATAGTCATCTCTTTCTGGACTTCCTTCAGCCCGCCCGTGAATCTTCCGCAATAAGATTCTAAGATACACATTACCTAGTATGTATTGTCATTAGATATTCTTCTACCTCTGTTTTCCTTGAACAATACCTCTTCCTCTTTCACAGTGCTTCTCTGAATCCCCTTAACGTTATTTGGCCTTCACTAAGATGTTCCAAGTAATCTACATATTTCCCCCAGTCCTTGACAAACTTTTGGTCTCTTAGATGTCTGATCTTTCCCGTTAATCTATCCAAATCCGCGTAGTCTAGTAACTTCGATCTCCACTCCTCTATTGTTGGCATTTCCTTTTTTTTCCACTTCTGAGCAAGGACTATCCTTGCTGCTGTTGCTGCATAGTACATAAATTTATGGTCTTTCTTTTTGATTTCATTCCCTAGTATTCCTAACAGGAAAATTTCAGGTTTTTTGGTAAATGTGTACTTTAGGACCTTCTTTAATTCAATGTATACTTCCTCCCAAAATTCTCTCACTCTCCTGCACTCCCACCACATGTGGTAAAAAACACCCTCCTTCTCTTCACACTTCCAACATTTGCTATCTACTTTGTACATTTTTGACAATTTCACAGGTGTTATATACCACCTGTAAAACATCTTCATGACGTTCTCTTTCACAGTCATACACGCAGTGAAATCCAGACCCTCTTTTCAAATGTGGCAGCCTTCCTTTTGTTGTCTTGAGCTGCTACATTCCTTTGTGCCCTCCTGAGATATTCAGCAGGGCAGAAAGAAGCTAATACACAAGTGGGAACTTTTCCACAGTTCCTAGACAGCAGCTAAACAATCAGTCCAAACATTTAAAATCACTCCCTGGCAGGGAAAACACATTTTATGGTAGATCCAAACTTTGAATACACATCCTCCAAGAGTAAAAAGGAAGGATAAGATGCCCTTGGCCTGGAGTCTGGGGTTAATGAGTGTTAATGGGTGTCACCTTCTTGGTCCCCGGTTTTTTTTTTATCTCTTCCTCATGTGTCCCCCCCCCCCATTTGGAGCAGCTGGAATCTAAAACTTCAGGCCCTGTGTATAAATATAGCAGTCTGCCTTCAGCCTTTTTTGAAACTGCAAGAAAGTGAGGAAGGGAAAAGCAAGCCAGAATTTTTCTAAAAAGGTCATGTTTTTGTTGTTGCTCCAGATGATGTTGCTTTCGTGGCTTGGAACAACAGAGCAAATGGCTGTACTGCAGAAGAAAAGGAGATTTCTACACCTCCTGCCTCAAGGCAGAGATACGCTAGTAAAATATCTAAGAGGCCAAGAAGGAACTCTGGCAGATACTGGTTTGTTTGGGACACCCCTCTTGGCAGAAATGGAGGGCGAGAGGCAAAATGGCCCAGAGGTGCCTAGGTTTCTTTTGGCCTATAAAGATAGCCATGCCTCTCAAGATTTGGGAAACAGAACTTCTTCTGCAAGTGCATCTCCAGAGAGAACACAAAATGCTTCTTGCCACCCTCACAGGAAAAGGGAAGCAGAACTGCCCTTCAGGAAAGATGCCAAGAAGTTCTGGGACCTTTTCATGTTGAAAACCAAGTCACGGTCTGATGTGATTGTCCTTCCAATCAAGACAAATGAAATGTATCAGGATACCTGCAGCACCATCCCATTCTCTCAGGTAAAGTTAAATCTTAAAATCAGCACTTAACCCAACGCTCCTTCTATATACTTAGGAACATCCAGTGAAGCTACTATTTGCATTGCAATTTTAATCTGCAAAATGGTTCACACCCACACCCATAGTAACCCTGTGAGGCGGGCCATTGTTTCCCAGATTTACAGAAGTGCGAGGGCTGATTTTCCCATGGTCTTATCAGTGCAAAATTTGCTTATAGAAGCAAAAAACATTACAAGTGTCTGTGCCAGAGACAGTCTATAGCTTTGGGCTGCTAAAAGGTTTCGTTGTAATAGCCAGTTTGTTTGTTTGTTCTAGTTACAGGTAGGTAGCCGTGTTGGTCTGCCGTAGTCGAAACAAAATAAAAAAAAACCTTCCAGTAGCACCTTAGAGACCAACTAAGTTTGTAATTGGTATGAGCTTTTGTGTGCATGCACGCTTCTTCAGATTTGTTTTTATAAAAATTTACAAACATTTGGAAGCATGTCAATACTTCGGGTGCATGATTCCCATTTTATACAATGGAAGTTTCAGAAAACAATATACAGTGCTAGATTCTAGAGCACAGGAATGTATGCTTCTGCCTTGAATTAGTTTTCATTTTATTTATCTGAGCTATTTCTATACCACTTAATCCTTGGCATTTCTAAACAGTGTACGCAAAGATGATAAAAAAACCGTACAGTGGATAAAATTATATATATATAAAAAACCAGAAACTCTCCTAAAATGGCTGTTGAAATAGAAAAAGGGCCTATTCCCACCCCCACCCCCAGTAACTGTAGCAGCAAATATAAAAAGTGACTTATTTTTTTTAAACAAATGTAATTCTGTATACAAGATAATGGTTTTATATGGAGCTGAAGTAGCACACTAGTTGAGTGCCTGAGATATGTGCTTACAAGCCCTGACTCAAATCTCTGTTTAGCTGTGAACTCACTGGTAGTCAGATGGATAGCCACTATTTCTCACTCCCCTATTTGTAATATGGAGATAATATTACTGGCCTACTGCAGAGTGTTGATCTAAAGATTACTGAGATACGTTTTGAATAATGGTTTCATATATCAAAAGTATTCCATATGATTCGATTTCTTGTATTTATATGCTATCTAATGAAGTGCCATAGAACTTGCTTTAACAGCGGTGTGCTTTCTTTCAGAGCATTGCACATGAGAACTGCGAGGATCTGGTGGTGCAAAACAACTTGTGCTTCGGCAGATGCAGCTCTTTTCACGTTCCTGGTCTTGAAGACCGCCTTTACACCTTTTGCTCGCACTGCTTGCCCACCAAGTTTTCCACGGAACGTTTGGAGATGAATTGCACCACCGCTGCTCCTGTAATCAAGGTCGTCATGGTCGTCGAAGAATGCAAGTGTGAGGTTCAGAAAACAACAGATCCCAAAATGGGATTTCTGCACTCGGATCTGCATGCCAATGTGTATGAACAAAACTGAGCCTTTCAAAACAAACTTTTCTTAGTAGATTTTTATCACTGGCGAGAATAGCCAGGACTTCAGTTTAATGCCAACACAACATCTTGAAGAAGCCTCTGGTACAGTTTGTGCAAGTGTAAGAGAGTGAGTGAGTGAGTGAGTGAGTGAGTGAGTGAGTGAGTGAGATAGAGATTCTCCACACATGAGATTAAAGAGCTGAGCTGATCAGCTACTACTATAGGTGCCCTTTACCTGTTTTTAGGTGCACACCACAGTTTTTCATGTCTGTAATTGTGATTTCTGACCGAAATTATGTCCCTGTTTATTTATTAGGTGCGCATATACCCAGTTAGTTCAGCTGCACTCTGAGCACAACAATGCAGGAATGTGTTCAGGGTGCCTCTTAACTGATGGAGCCACCTAATTAATTACCAAACTGGAAAAAGGGGGATTCTTTCTATGCAAATCTTTCTGAGCACTCATGGGCAATAATACCTTGTCAAGCCATTTATCCTTCTGTCCTTAGTTCTCTGAATAAAGCAACCAGAACTCAGTTTTTCTAACCTTTCATTACCAAAAAAAATCCCATCCGGATCAAAGGGAATTTTCAATACTGAGAACTTGACGACGGATTGGGCCCTAACTGTGAATATGCACCATTTAGAAAGGAGGTATAAAGAGGAAAACAGCAGCTGTAGTAATTGTTAATTAGATTAGTGCCTTAGCTTTTGGGGGTGAGTGTTTAATTAACCCAGCAATGATCAGCTGCATGTAATTAACACTGTATTCTGTTATATCAAGGATGTGTTAATTGGATCTGATTTTCAGAGTCAACTTCCATATTCAGAGCAAGTTGAGCCCAGGTGCTAACGGAATATTGCTCCAAAAGAAAAAGGAAGGAAGAAAAAACAAATTCGAGCCAGAGGACAGTGGTCTTGTACACACCCCAGGGACTGTTTAACTGTAGTCACATTTGAAACATAGACAGGGTAACTGTTTCTGCAAAGTTCCCTTTGCTTTTAATTTGTCATAGTGTTCTATTTTATTTTGCAGGATTTTCAGAGCTATTCCTAATTGCGGGGGGGGGGGGGGGGGGGAGGACAGTTTCCAATTATTGCAATGGTGCATCTTATACAGAGACTGTTAACTTTAAGACTTTTTAAATGAAGTTAATTGTCAGCCCCTAGAGTACACTTTTCCTCTGCTTTAGAATATCAGATTAATCACCACAAATACCTGCACAGTTTCAAAATGCCAGTAAAGTTTAATCAACACTGTGTTGCATGGGGTTTTTTATTTTTGGTTGCTGATAGAAGAGGTTCAGTTGGAGACAACTGTAACACCTTGAAACTCTGAACCCCTTCCCAGGAGCACAAAACCCTTTCAATGCCATTTAACTTTTATTTTAGCCATTGACACTGAAAGATCCACTGCTTGCAAGTTAATAAAAGTAAAATACTAATAATATAATTATTCAGGCCTTTTTTGTTATCAGCAACATATTAAAATTGACCATTTTGTCCATTATTAGATTTAGCTTCAAAGCATATACGATCTTGCTTTGTGAAAAAGTTGGTAACTATATGGTATTGCTTCTTTTAATGCATATATGTTAATAATTTAGGCTGCAGTCCTAGGAACTATTCGTCTAAATTCATGTGTATGTGACTCTAGTAACATGAGCAGCTAGTTGGCACCATGGATAAGTGTTCTAATAAACCTCGTAATAAACCTTAGGACATATTCACATGTACAGATGTATCATTGCGTGTCTCATCACTTAATAGTTCTAAAGGGAAAGGGACCCCTGACCATTAGGTCCAGTCGTAACAGACTCTGGGGTTGCGGCGCTCATCTTGCTTTATTGGCCAAGGGAGCCAGCGTACAGCTTCCGGGTCATGGGGCCAGCATGACTAAGCTGCTTCTGGTGAACCAGAGCAGCGTGCAGAAACGTCGTTTACCTTCCCGCTGGAGTGGTACCTATTGATCTACTTGCACTTTGACATGCTTTTGAACTCCTAGGTTGGCAGGAGCAGGGACCGATCAATGGGAGCTCACCCCGTCATGGGGATTCGAACCGCCAACCTTCTGATCAACAAGTCCTAGGCTCTGTGGTTTAACCCACAGCGCCACCTGTAAAATGGCAAACTTGCGTCTCATCCGAACCATTTCAGGTTACAGGTGAGTCTCACATATGACTGAATACCCTGCCATGCACAAGAAAAGTACCGGTAGTATGTCACGGGAAAAGACAAACTTCAACCCTTATCCTTAACATCTAATTTTCTGCGTACAAGGGTTCCTCAATATGTGGAACACCTTAACTGAAAAATACTGATTAAGATAGCATGAGGTGGTTCTAGTTGTTGTTACAGATATTCAAGGAAGAACATAGTTGTTTGAGCTTGCTTTCTGTGATATTCTTTGAAAAGCCGGTATCCCTTGCTATCATTTCCACATTACAGGATCGTTGTGAAGATAAAGATTTTAAAGCATATATTGTATGCACTATGTCGGTAGTAATATTAGTGCATCTTCTGAACAAAACCCAGTATTTTGTCACGAATATATAGGTAACAAAACAAACAAAACAAAACAAACACGAATATATAAGTAATAAAACAAACTAAAATTTAACCATCCTTTCAATGTATAAATTTATCCCAACATAATAGTTACCCACAGAATATTCTTATTCAACTGCCTAAATATTATTTCAATGCTGCTATACAGTGGTACCTCTGGTTACATACGCTTCAAGTTATAGACTCCACTAACCCAGAAATATTACCTCGGGTTAAGAACTTTGCTTCAGGATGAGAACAGAAATCGTGCTCCGGCGGCGCGGCAGCAGCAGGAGGCCCCATTAGCTAAAGTGGTGCTTCAGGTTAAGAACAGGTTCAGGTTCAGTACGGAATTAAGTACTTAACCTGAGGTACCACTGTGTTCCAAATACACATGATTAGGATTGTAACCCAAAGCATGTGTCCAGTGTAATTTTGGGGGGGAATAGATGATGGGTGTGCACAACTCTGCCTTGATGTGGAAAACCGACGTCATATTAGTTCTGTTTCATGCATATCATTTGAAAGTGGGAAAATGTCTCTGGCCTATCAGCAACAGAAAAGTTTGCTAAATGCATACGTTTGGAGTGAAAAGCTCATGTGGTGGTATGCAGATTAAAGCATGGCACGAAAAAAGGTGGAGATTCTGGTTTACAGATCATGCCTTAAATCCATTGGAAGGACCAAAACTTGCATTAGCATTGCAAAATATCCTTCTGGTGTAGGAGGCTTATAGAACAAAGTGCCATCCCTTCTCTTGCAGGCTGCCTCCATAAGAGAGCATCAGCTGCCGCTACACATGGCATGATTTTAGCATGCTGATTTAATATTTACAGAGTGCCAATAAAATTTTTATGACGACAGCTGGTGGTTCCTGTGGTAATTTATAAACAACAACATAACACAGACATCAGGGAACTCCCGAGGAAGGTTCTGCATGGCTGTACAATATTTAGGAATATCAGACACAAGGTTGTTTCTCCAAACACGGAAAGGGTTTTTGTTTTTGTTTTTTCCCCTCCTTTGCTTTGCAGGTTTTTAAGGACCATTGCAGAATGCATTGCTGAAAGGCTTTCTGCAGCTGAACTACACAGCACTCAAAAGTCGTAATACCTGGATGTTTTCTCTCTCAAGGGCTGAAACAGCAGATGTGTTTTAAGAAACAACCTGTCTGTTGACTTACAGAGTCTGTATTCCTCCTATACCGTACCAGATTTTCACAGGCCTGTTTCTGTGGACCTGATATGCCTGCAATTTCACTGTGGTTGGACATTGCCGGATTTACGTATAAGCTAAACAAGCTATAGCTTAGGGCCCCACTCTCTTGGGGGGGCCCAAAAACTTAAAGGGAAAAAACTGGGTGTACATTTCCAAAATATAATATAAAAATAAAATAAAACAAAACTTACATTCAGCAACAGTGTTTTGTGTTGTGTAGGCTCCTATGATGTAAGTAATGGGCCCTGCCTGCTAGCTTGCTCCCTAAATATCACATATAAAGGGCCCCATTACCTTCAGCAGCTAAGGGCCTCATCAAACCTAAATCCAGCCCTGTGGTTAGAAGACCTATTAAACCTTCCAGACAACTTAATTCCTTTCCAGGAGAAGCAGAATTTCTCAGTGCTCCAACTGGTAAACCCAGTTGGGACTGAGTCTTGCTCCAGCAAGGGTCAATGTCACAAGTCCTTTCCCATCCCAAGCCCTTTTTAAAATCAACAGAATAAACATTTTATTCTGTTATATTTCAGCCTCCCCCCCCTTTGGAGGCCCCATTTATGATGCTGGGGTGCATGGCACCTACAATTAACACCACATCACCCCCCACTGCCAACCCCCAAGCAGCATGGTTATTAGAGGGGACAAAGTTGTCACTTCATGTAACTAGCGCCAGGGAAGTGTGTGGAAAACAAGATTAAATCCTCTCATTCACAAAGAGAGGCTCATAGTCTGTCTAACCTTTCTGGTTCCTGCTTTGTACTGAAGACCACCAGACTCAACAAGATTGCAAGCAGCCTGGGCATGAAGCATCTCATTATTCTTATTCTTATTCTTCTTATTATTACTTTGAACACCTAAGACTGCCATATCATTTAAAAGCATTATTCTACTATTTTTAAAAGCCAGCTTCATATTTCACATTTTGTGAGAAAAACCTTTTTCTCCACAGCCATTGCAATACAGAATTCCTTCTGAAGTTGTAGCTTTTCCAGAAATCACAGTCACGACGGAGGTAGTGATAATAATAAAAAATTATTATTTGTACCCCATCCATCTCATTGGGTTGTCCCAGCCACTCTGAGCTGCTTCCAACAAATATAAAAGCATAATAAAACATCAAACATGTTTGATGTTTTATTATGCTGCCTTCAGATGTCTTCTCAAAGTTGCTTTTATCTCCTTGACATCTGATGGGAGGGTGTTCCACAGGGAGGGTGCCACTACCAAGAAGGCCCTCTGCCTGGTTCCCTGCAACCTCACTTCTCACAGTTAAGGAACCAGCAGAAGGCCCTCAGAGCTGGACCTCAGTGTCCAAGCTGAACAATGAGGATGGAGACGCTCCTTCAGGGATACAGGGCCAAGGCCGTTTAGGGCTTTCAAGGTCAGCACCAACACTTTGAATTGTGCTTGGAAACATACTGGGAGCCAGTGTAGGTCTTTCAGGACCGGTGTTATACTGTCCCAGCAGCTGCTTCCAGGCACCAGTCTAGCTGTGACATTCTGGATTAGTCGTAGTTTCCCAGTCACCTTCAATGGCAGCCCCACGTAAAGCGCATTGCAGTAGTCCAAGTGGGAGATAACCAGGGCATGCATGACTCTGGTGAGACAGTGCACAGGCAGGGAGCCACAGAGAGGTTGTTTTCAGGAGCAGTATGTGACAAACATAACATGCGCACTATTCTCTATGAGCATAGAAGAGTTGCACCATAAGTGGAGTAACACCCAATCAGTTGGGCGGGGTACACCTATCATTATTATTACTGCTTTACCT